CAGCTGGCTATCGTGCAAAGATAAGGCGGCATCGGCGAGACAGCTTCCTTGCGGCTTTCACTGCCACGCGTCATAATCAGCCATTACCCCGCAGATAACTCAGCACCAAACACACTTTAAACAGACAATCCGATTAGGAGACGGCAGCAGACGCGCCACTGGTGTCGGTTGCGAGCCATGTCCTGCAAAGTCTCGAGCCAAGTACAAGGCGAGTCACGTGGACTCCAGCCCGGAAGGCGAGACGGACCAACGGTACCCAGTTTGGTCGTCAGTGACTTCATTTCACGCTGCCAAGTCAACTTCTGTCCACCTCGAGCCTTGCGCCATCCTACACCTGGTAGGCTGAACAAGGCCCTCCTAGGTAAGCGGTGACCAGGCATACGTAGCATGTGCCCGAGCCAACGCAACTTATTCAGTGCTATCTGTTGTTCTAGGGTGCTAGCATGATTATCACTTCCTAGTACTCGCCTACGCACATCATCGTTGGGGATACGCTGGTGCCATCCGACACCGGCAATGCTTCGCAGACAACGATGATCAAAGACTTGAAGGCGCCCCAGATCTTCAGACCGAAGGGGCCAAGTTTCACTACCATAGAGCAGAACGGCCCTCACTGTGGCCTTGTATACACGGCCTTTCAGACGGAGGGAAATTCCCTTCTGTCGCCAAAGATGCTTTAGGTTCAAGAAGGCAGTTCTGGCCTTTGCAATGCGTGAACTGATGTCAGTTTCTATGCGCCCATCATTGCTGATGCAGCTGCCAAGATAAGTGAAATGATCAACCACCTCTAGTTCCTCGTTAGCAAGCGTCAAGGGGTCATCAAGTGGCTGGTGGTCCTGCAGCAACACTTTGCACTTTGAAGATGCGAAGTGCATACCAAATAATGGGACCACTCTGGACAGGCTATTCAGGGTTGATTGTGCCACGGCAAACTCGTCGAAAAGCAAGACGATATCGTCCGCATAATCTAGGTCAACTAACCTTTCACCAGGCAGCACTTCAACGCCTACATCGTTGGATTCCGTCAGGGAACACTCCATGATAGAATCCACGACGAAATTGAACAGAAATTGGGAAATCGGACAACCCTGACGAACGCCACTTGTAGTCGAAAAGCTATCCGATAGGACACCATAGACCCTGACGCGGCCTGTAGTGTTCGAGTATAGAGCACGAAGGATGTTCACATATTTCGTCGGAACACCTTTTCGCGCAAGTATTTCGAACAGAATCGATCGATCGACTGAATCGAACGCACTCTTGAAATCGAGGAACACAGCTATTGTCGGTCTGCGGTATGCGTGGCGCTGCTCTAGCATTTGCCGCAGTGAATATATGGTCTATACAGCCACGTCCTGGGCGGAAACCGGCCTGCTCTTCGTTAATGCGAGATTCCCGTTCCGCGGTGAGGCGACGAACGAGAATCGAGGCCAATAATCTTGTCACAACTGGCGTTAGGCTAATACCCCTGTGGTTAGAACAGTCGGTGCGACTGCCCTTCTTGTATATTGCCACTATAATCGATTCACTCCAATTAGCTGGGACACTTCTTTCCCGATACATTCGAATAAGGAGGTCAGTGCTTTGCAGAGGACCTCACCATCTTTAACTAGTGCAGGTGGGAGGGAATCCGGGCCAGCGGCACGAAAACGATTGAGGGCTGTGATCGCGTTTCGGACCTCGGCCTCCGACGGAGGCTCTAAACTAACCGTCCATGGCTCGTCCTGCATCACCTGAGTAGGAAGAAGTCCGCGAGCAGGGGGCCAGCTGAACTGATCTTGAAAGTGTTCAGCCCAACGAGCCATACGGCGCTCCTTATTGTGTATCAGCGCACCCGCACTGTCTCTGATTGTTTCACTGACGCCTGGTTTTCTGGGACCAGTGGTGCGGATTAGCTGGAAGAGCTTGCGGTAATTGCCTACTGCTCCTGCCTCCTCCATTTCTTGAGCCCGACTGATCCACCAGGCTTCCTTGTCAGCACGTAGGCTCCGCTTTAGTTCACGCCTAATAGCCCGTCTGGTCGCATTGTGTTCAGAACCAGCCGGGAGGTGTCTTCTAGATTCCAACAGGTTCACCTACCTCTCGGATATCCAGTGACTGGTGCGGTGACGATGGATATTGCCACAAGCAGATGCTCCTGCGTCGTGCATGGCGGCCGAGATCCTATTCCACTGAAGCTCAGTGTCATTAGGACAAGACAGCGGAAGTTCGGTATGCAGTGCGTCTTGATAGGCTTGTCTGACCGAGGGCTGAGACAATTTCTCAGTTGTCAATTGAAGGAGACGCTTGGTGCGCCTCCCGGTAAAGTTCATGGAGAAACGACAGCGCACTAAGGCATGATCAGAGTCGACACAGGTACTCCAGTACGAGCGGCAATCCAGGATGGAACCACGCCATCTGTAACTTATGGCTATGTGGTCAATTTGGGTCCATCGCTGGTCAGCTACAGGAGGACGCCAAGTGACACTTCGGCGCCCACTGTGTCTACAAGCAGTGCTACTAAGAAACAACTGGTGCTCCGCACACAGTTGCAGCAGACGCTCACCGTTGTCAGTCCGTTCGGAGTTAAGCCCATAATTACCACCCAGCTGAGCTTCTGAAGAGCTCAGACGCCCTACTTGTGCATTCATATCCCCTGCACGTACTATAATATCTGAACTAGTAGCACTGCGTAGTAGCGCGTTCAGTTCGTGATAGAATGTATCCTTGAAAGCCTTAGAACTGCAGTCGGTGGGAGCATAAGCGGAAATCACAAACAAACAGCGTTTTGTACTACTTCGTGAATCAATCTTAGCTGATGTCGTCAAACGGGCTGCACATAAACGGCTGTTCACCGGAATCCAATCAAACAACGATGGCTCAGCCTTGGAGCTTAGAATGATACCTACACCAGCTTGACCCGTGAGTGCTGCATCGGCGTGTCCGGATGCGTGCAACCAATAATGAGAGGATAAGCCGGGTGCAGTTAATTCAATAACCCCATTAAGGTCATTGATCCTAGTTTCGGACACACAACACACATCAATACCCAGTGTGTCCAAGGTGCGTGCGAGTGCAGCCTGTTGACCTGTTTGCCTTAGAGTGCGAACGTTGAATGTCGCCATGGAAACGGGACAGCGTGGCCTTATAAGGGAATTTTGCCGATAGGCGTCCGGTAGGTGCTGTGGGATGGTGGCTGCAGATGGTTCTACTCCAGTGGCACTTCGGTTGCTGTCAATTAAGCTGGGAATTACAGAAGGAAGGTTAGTAATGGGGGTCGGGATGGGAGTAAGAGCAAAAGGTGGAAAAGAAAGAAGGGAGGCGCCAGCAGTAGCATGTTTTCGCTTATCCGCCCTGCTGTATGCAGCAGATAAGGCGACCCTTGATAATCTGCGCGATGGCCGATGCAGGATGAAGTTTATGTTTGAAGAAGAAGTCATGGTTGTATGTGGGCTGAGATACTGCCAGGGCGCCCAGACCTAGACAGGAGGACGATTAGGGTCCTCATCCAAAGCCTTTGGCTCAAAAGCCTGTCCGCAAGGCAGTGGGGTGGCAGTCATTTAGTTTTACAGAAATGGACGCCATCCCATTTCAAACCCCCAACCTGGAGGACCAGGAGACTGAGTTTGTCTGACCTCTCACCATTGACCAATCTGGTGGGAGTAGCTCTCAAGATGCCCAGAGGCATCACCCAGTATAGCTCAATGGGTCAATGAGGTACGCAAACCGTCGCACCACGTTAAGGTCCAGTCTCGTTGCGACGGTGTTGTTTCCAAACTCCTGTGTATTCATGTTCGCCTTCATGAACATTACATTTAGTGGTTATATTTTCACAAAATTCCACTCTCCGTTTTATCTCTTCAACTTTGTATGAGGAATATATTACTTAATGTGCAGTCGCATTTACACTTAAAGATCTTTCCTCTTCGTGTCTCACATTACCAGACATTAAACTCCAGTAGTTACACTACTAAAAATACTTTTTTCGTAGTCCTGGCGTGGTGGACCACATTGCACTGGCACTGGACTCCAGCACGTACATTTAGGCTAATTAAAGTCTATGCGTTTCGGTTTACACATAGAGTATAATCGACATGCATCTGTACCGCAGCATAGCGTCGTCCATCTGCGTTTCAGTAGACGCTCGTTGGTTCCCATAAAGTGCAGTCTTAGTGGCCATCTCTAAATTGCAACTCAGATTGCTTATGATGGCTGATTTCATCTCTTGTTGAACCACCATCATATGCCTACTGATAACAATTCGCAGATCAGAATCAAGCCGCTCTTCTGTCCACCAGTCAGTTTTCAGCTGCTCACCACCTCACCGCGGCACTCGATCATCGACGCCATTTCTCTGCTCACCATCCGTTCTACTTCATTGTTTCTGTGTACGCAATATTGTAATACGAACTCTAAAAACATTTTATTGTCTATGATTGTCACATCGCTGTCTACGTCCTGTTCCCACTGTGGTGCTTCCAAATGCAACTGGTTTGTGACGAATTCTCACAGACCATTCTCAGTATACTTGCCACAGTCTTGCTTATCAAAACCGAGCTGATCCCATTACTATCCTCCGGTCTTATACTATACTGCCCTTGGCAACTATATCATTTTAATCTGCCCGTATGCATCACATCCTGTGCTGCTGTCGGATTGCACAGTTCATCATTTCTTCTGCATGCTGTCTATAGAGTAAAACAGTAAACAGTGTGATATTTCGCTCTACGTTTATGTTGCACAGCTGTCAGTCTTAGAAATCAGCTGTTTTGCAATCCTTGACATGACCATCAAATTTACCAGCATCACTTTTAACTCATACTCCGCACCCCTACGGTGTGACTGCACGACGCACATACAGTAGTAGTCCATGAATTGGTCCAGATTGCCATACCTTACAGCTATCCACACGGCATTTCCATTTGGTATACTGAGTTTCGGCAATCTTCTTTGGACTGTCACCTTCCTTTACTTTGTGAATCGCCTTGCTTTACACATCCGGTTTTTCCTTCATGTTGTAGTTCCCACTTATGTCGTACATTCGATGTCGTCGAGCCTGGATACCCGATTTTCGCGTGCTCGCCTGAAGGACTCGCCGGTAGTTTCGCGTTTTGTGTTTTGTAGGCCACAAGACGACCTGATAAAAATCACAGTCATAAATGAATACGCATGCAAAAGACCACCTCCTTCTGTGTCCAGTCAAAAGAGATTTTCAAGTAACATGCCCCACGCCGGCATTTCTCGCTCGAAAGCGAAAACACAGACTGGCACCTCTTTCAGCAAGTGAGCTTCCAGCTACCTTTGTCTTGAACAAGCTACTTCCATGGTGGGCTTCACTTAAATCACGAATTTTGTTGGTAAATACCATCTAAAAGCTGTGTACTTAGTTTGGTACATCCTTCTCCTTTTTCGTATTCATCTGATCACTGCGACCCCGATGGCTTTTGCTGTAGTACTTCTCTGTAGGTACAGTTTTCTGCTCACAAGTTTTGTTGTTTTTACTAATGTATCCACAAGGTGATATCAAAGTTTAAGCAACGTTTTTGCGTTTTACGGTATTATCAGCTAAAACCATACATGAGAAATGCAGGTTACAAATCTCTTATTTACCGAGTTGCATGCGAAGTGGAACATTTTGATAAGAAATCCGTCAGACCATTGGTGTCACCGTTGTTCACCTATCCACCTGAGCCATCCTGAGAGCTTTCAGTACTAAAGGATGTCCGTCATAACCTTATGTTTTTGAAGTGAAACGAAATGTTTTCTCCCGGCAATATCACACTCTATCCTAACTGATAGACATAGGAAATTCGCTTACGTATGGCTTTTCAAATTTATTCAGCTTTATATAATGATTTGAAGAGACTCAAACGAGCAGTTTTCAGCTGTTATTCTCGGTTTTAATAAGTTTCATTTGACGTCTTGCGAGCATCCTCAGTATATTAGCCTCGTTGATATCGCTTCTAGAGTGACCTGGAGGCGGCTTGCTAATTTCGGCAGATGGTTCGTCGATCATTAATCTGCATTGGTAAATCTGTCCCATTCCTTATATCTGATAGGACTCATCAATCAACTAATGCTAATATCCTACAGTTGAGTTTCGACAACAAACCTCTAGACTTTTTTTGCACTTGAACTGCCTACGTTGGCTTGTACATTTTCTTCATGTAATTGCTGACTGACCGCTTGGTTATATGTCATTTTCGCATGTTGTGCAGAGTTGGGCAGAGCGTCAAATCGCCCACCCTGTGATATTGCGGTATAAATGCATGCAGAAGTTGACTGAAAGGACTAGTCACGCTAGTGTGTTTGAGAGCTTCAGGATACGCCACATCACTGATTTCTCAATTCATCTCGTATGGCGCAGTTGTGAGATCTGTGATACTCTTGCCACGAGCTTCTGCTTCCTGTTGTTGACCTCATATGGAAGCGAGGTTCTCCTTGTCCTCTGATCTCTTAAAACGAGTTTGTGCTTGTATGTTGGCATGTTCGCTCTGCTTGTTGTAACGGGAGTGGGACCGGAGGGTCCAGTTGAGTCTACGTGACAGAATAAGCAGTCATCTTGCTGCAAATGAATGGAGCAGATGGTTGGACTTTGCATGTACGCTGATTGGTTCATATTTAGCCACGCTGGAGTATGATTGTCCGGAAGCGCCGTATACCTTTCGGCGCCATCCGACCGCGCTCAAAACCCTCTGTTGGTGAAAGTAACCGCAGAATCGAACAATATTTTAACAAACGGCATGGAGCAAAGAAACGATCGTTTAAACCTGGACAGACAGTGCTGGTACGTGACTATCGGGTAGGCCACGCGAAGTGAATGCCAGGGACGGTCAAAAACAAGCGCAGATATGTCATGTATGACGTGATCGTGGGAACACAGGTCTTAGAACGGCAAGCAAACCAGCTACGGCCAATGCTTTCAACCAGACGAAGCAAAAGCTGCCGATATCCCGTTCGACTTATTGGTGAAAAGCTTCAACTTGCCAAAGGAACCCGTGGACGACTGCTCACAGTCGAGCATGAAAACAAGACCACAGACGTCGGAACCCACTTCTCGGGCACTTCAGCCCAAGAGATGGACCGACAAGCAAAGAACACCGTCTCGATGACTGCAAGTTAATCCCAGTCTTCCATCAAATACCGCGGACGTCATCTCAGGAGGGGAACTGTCCGGGTGAAGGTAATAATTCCCTGGAAAACCCATTATTTCAGCGATTAATCGATTGCTATCAATTGTCGCTTCGATTTCAAAAGCTCTGGTATATCCCAGTGTTTGCACTTGACTAGCAACCTCCTGATGATCGGTCATAACTATGGGGGACAACTAACCTTGTCGGTTGACCTTCCCATTCCAACAGTCGAAGGTCCGTAAGGGACCTATAAATACAGCCAAAACCCGTTGCATTTGTTCAATGTGTTGTTGACGGCGGTTAACACGTTATTTTGTCAAGGTCATTAACGTTCTGCTTTTTCCTTCGGTTGGGCTAGAAGTTGAATGTAGCTATACGTTGCCAACACTAGTAGAAATCCTACAGCTTATGGCTGAGAACAAGCACTTCACTAAGGCTGATTTATCGTCCAAGTTCTAGCACCTGGTACTAGGTGGAGAATACAGTTTCTTGCCAACTTTCACCACACCTTTCGGGCGTTTCTGCTGGCTACGTTTAACTTTTGGTTTAAAGGTTTCGAGTGAAAATTTTCCGAAACGATTATTGCGAATTGTTGACTATCTAGACGTCGTAACATGTGTAGTAGACGATGTGCAGATTTGCGGCTCGACCAACCAGAGACATGACACCAATTTGCATCACTTTTTGCAGGGTTACCTCCAGCAGAACATAGAACTCAAACACTAGGAAGTTGAGCTCCGAAAATCGGATTTGATTCTTATATTGGGCACGTTCTGACCTCCGAAGGGATCATAGTCGATCCCGGCAAAATGAAGGCAGTGCAGGGACAGCATGTGATGTA